CCACATTTTATTGTATCAATCAATTCGAGATCAGAAAGGGATTCTGATGCTTTTAAGCTTGTCTTTCCGTCTGCCTGTCTGTATCGCTTTCTAATTCTGAATCGAACTAAGCTTGTCTATCCGTCTGTCTACCTGGATCACTATCTAAATCTGAATCGCTCTAAGCTTGTCTGTCCGTTTGCTCAGTTTGTATTCTTCTGTTCAACCTATTGATCCCAATTTTTGAGATATTTTGATGATGGATCCCGATACACCGTAATGTTTTGACTCAAGCAAGAATGCCGTAGAAAATGGCTCGAATTGAAGTACTTTCTAAACCACTTCCCATATAAAGCCTTACTTAGAAAAGTTATTAAGTGAATAAATGTACTAAGCGAAGGTGTGTAGGGTATTCAATGGCGGTATAGTGCTTTTATTTGCTTCTTACAAGTTTGAAAACAAAAATTGATTTAATTTTGCGACCTAAGTAGTACTAGTAGTATAACAATATCCGGTTTCGAAAGTTAACATTTTCGAAATTTACCTAACGCAATTTTATGGCCTTGATCTGATCTCTCGACGAATGCCGATTTTTAATTTGTTAATTGTTTTCGAGTATTTCGCATGTATTTTCCTTTTCAAACAAGGTCTAAACTCGGCGAAAATAATGCAAAAATATCGAATCGCATGATTTTCGTTGCCCTCTTGTGCCTAGATTTTTTGCAATCACTCAATTGCCGAATTTGAATGACAATAAGTTCATTGTTTCACGACTTCCGCGGCATGATAAGATTTCTCCGCCGCTGAAGCTGACAAATTTCTTATGTAAACTGCCGTCCATTCAGCTAAGAATAAGCTTCGCTATCAGTAGAGACGATTTCCGCAGAAAAACAAAAGCGTTTTTTACGAAAATCCATTTTCACAAACACACGAATGGCATAGCTTTGACACTACATCGGATCGACATTGCTACCGTAAATTGATAGATCAAAGAAAAGATTTATGTCATGTTCTCGCATGAAATTCATTAGAACAAAAGTGACTCATTTTGACCATCAGCCTTTCTATTATCTTTTTGGTAATAAATCAGTAATGATGTCATTACTAGAGATGTTCTGAGATTTGTTGAATACGAAGTGGTTTCAAAAAGTTTCAAAGAACTCTTTCGAAATTATATGTGGAGAGAGAGAGAGAGAGAGAGGAGAGAAAGAGAGAGAGAGGAGAGAAAGATAGAGAGTGAGAGAGAGAGAGAGAGAGAGACAAATGGGACGTAAAAAGGTCCGCATTTCGGGGTGGATGCATTAAAATGTCTCGGCAAAGATCTCAAAATTTTTGTGCATTTAGCATATACGTTACCATATTCTGGATGCTTTACCTCAAACGGGTCTAGGCTGTTTGAAGTACCTTATTATACCCGACCCTTTATTATCATATAGAAGTCATTTTCCACGACCATTTCTCAATTTCTTTGAAAATGGTTCTGTGCCGTCTCCCGTCTGGTAGTAACCCCTAGATGCAAATTCGGACCATTTAATTTTTCACTGTCAAGGAGCTGTCAATAAGCTTGCTGTAATATGCTCGCTGTAATTAATGCCATAGCCATGTCGCAGAAAGGGAAGTACCGGACTTTTCCAATTTTTTGAAGAGTTTTATCGACTTTATCTATCCATAGTTGACAAGAGTGCGGGGCGCATTTTGAGAGGAAACGAGTGCAGCATCTACATGTAGCACAAGGCTTGTCGAAGCGATTTTGTGAAATATACTGAATTTTTTCAAAATTTAAATATTTTTAACTAATTTTTTTTCTCCGATCATTGAGAACATGTGCCCGGCACGCGTAACACGTCCACGATCAGAAAGAATGGAAGGAAAGAACAAGAGGTGGGGAGTGAATGCAGCCTAATGTTTGCTTACCTAATCGATAAGTGTTATGCCTTTATCGCCTGACCACTTACTATAGCTACGATCAAATTCATAAATTCATCTCCCCTTGTACGTCTCCTGAATAGTTTTATACAATTTTTATAGGCGTGGCATTCGATTTTATCCTATTTTCAAAAAAAAAAAGAATATTCTCTTTCCATATATATTCACAGAAATGGTTTGGTTGAAATGTAATATATAATCTTTTTTATATAAATGTATCAAAAATATAAATTCATCTCTCCATAATAGTAGGTTCCACAGATTTTTGTATGTGGAATAAATGACTGGTTATTTAATTGATTTGTATATTTCAACAGAGTGATTATATGCCCAACTGGAAAGGTGCGAAAATTTCAGCAGCTTTTAAAGCATGCGTTAAACTGTATGAAGAAGGTGAACTGTATAACTTTCTCCTACCCGTTAGTAAAACAGAGTGCATAGCGAAGGTATCTGAGGAATTGTTTAAAAATTGGAAAAAGCACAATGACGATGGTAAGTAAATTTCGATCGCCTAAATGAATTTGAGAACATTTACGATTTCAGTTACTCTTCGACTTGTTGGGAAGAGTCATCACCGCTTGTATGAACGTCAATGCCCTGAAGAATTGCACGGAGCTCTGCCCCAACTTGGGCAGAAATCGTATGCGTACGCAATACAGTTTTTCACCGATTTCGATGTAAATCCATACAACGCTCACGTTGTAAAATATCTTAATAATAAGTCCACTTATGCATTATTGCTTTCGAAAAAGTTGCCATTATTAGCGGAAATGCCATTATTTATGTCACAGGGCAAAATACGCGTTCGCATTTCTAATCAGCCGAGAGAATTTGTAGTGCAAACAAATCAACAGCTCAATACGTTAATAAATTTTCATACAATGATTTTCAAAGATTTGCTTCAACTTTGGAAAGATTTTCTGGTCATTGATCGTCGCAATTTGGAAAATTCATATTTAATAGTGCCTTTGGATTCTTCTCAATCAATTGATTGGCAATTAATAGAAAGCTTCCAAAGCTTAGATCCAGCAAGATCTTATTCTGTGATAGAGCGCAAACAGAATGTATACCGTCCGGAGAATTTCCTTGATAAGGTCGTAACTAAATGGTATAATAAAAATGAAGACGAACAATTTGTTGTTGTTAAGATACGTCAGGACTTGAATCCTTTAAGTGATTTCGACAATAATCAATTCAAAAATTATGTGGAATTTTATCGAGCACGATATAATATCAATGTGGTAGATTGCAGCCAGTTTCTGCTAGAGGTAAACGCTAGCGTACTTGAGATTTGAACCCTCGAACACTATGACTTACGATTTGGGAATCGCGGTTCTTACCTTCTAGGCTACTCAATTTAAATTCCTTGTAAGTCCGCATTTCTCCGCAATTCTTATATACACCTTGCACTTTATCCAATGCGCAGTTTTAATTACTACTTGTATGATGCAATAGAAGCCCTTGCGTACCCGTTTGAATTACTTCCCTAATAAATTTAAAAAATTTAAAACAAAAACTCGAATGCTCTATGCAGGCTGTACCGCTCTAAGCCTGCGAGGTCTAAATAAATATCACAATGGATTTCTTATATTAGCTGCTTATGGACTGTCGTCTTCCAACTACGATTGTCACGAAAGTCATGCGATTTTGTAATCGTCTACCAGTAAAGTCAAAAGGAAGCGAAAAAACTCGGCGGAGTAAATAAATGATACGCATGCGTGATTGCCGGCAATTTTGGAGCAAACGACTTTCAGTTCTCTGGTGTCTTTCAAAAGTGCGGCTTACATAAAATTCGACCTAAAGATATCCTTAACTTTCAAGGCTCCCGGGCAGGTCCATGATTAACCCAAAGCTACTTGTTTCACCTCAAATCGCCCCAACATATGTACATATGTAAATGTCTTATTTAGTAATAGTTTGGCCTTTATTTAGACGGCTGCAAGGTAACAACGGCGTTGCTATCGTCTAACTTCCGCTTCAAAAGATGTCATTAATGAAATATTTACAAATAAAATAAAAAGTATGGCGTATGCGTTGTCTGTTGGCTGCTTGTAAACATATTTCGTATTATTAACTGATGAACGGAACATATTAACATAACTTAGCTTGGGTGTGTTTTGGGTTGAAGACCATAAAAAGCGCAGACAACCTTGAACTTTACAGTTTTAATTACGTATTATAATCATTATATAATAAAGTGGTTTTTCTTATCTTTTGTCTTGGGCGTGTATATATTTTGTATCATCATAGGAGTATAAGAGTAAATATGAATCGAATAAAGTTTTATCAACTCATTCATAAATTTACTTTAATTACATGAAAGTAAATCAAATGAATTAAAAATCATTGAAATGATTAAAGTGTTCTTATAAATAAACAAACACACTCTCGCAGATACTCGCTTATGGCATGCCTGTATGTATGCATGCAGTTAATTAAGAGCAAACAACAACAACAACAACAATAATAATAACTTGAATACCTTAACACGTTCTATAACGTATGGGGGTGTAAGGTGTTGAAGTATAAAAAAAAATAAAAATAAAAAAAAAAAACTGCATTAATTAGCCAATGAGAGCAGCAAGAGAAAGAATGAGAGATAGTACGAAGAAAAAAGAAAGGAAAAAAAAAAATAAATAAACTGGATTTTCTCTTCACCCCATAAAGGCACATGTTAATGTTAGTTTAATTTTAAAAGCTAAGTTCGTGCATGTGTGCATATGAACGCATTTGTTCTTATATCCCAAAAATAAACAACATTCGACACAATAAAGTTTTTCGTTTTATTTTTTCTTCTTTCCTTTCTTCAAGTTTTATCATTCATTCCGCTTCGTATGAAAAGACTGCAAAAGCTGGCTGGCTGGCTGGCTGACTGACTGACTGACGTCGAGTTTTATTTGTTGTCTGGTCTTTTATATATATGTGCTTATTATAAACGAATGTGTGTTGTCTGTTTTTTTTTTTTTTTGTTTTTTTTCCGCTTTTGCATACAAACTTAAATAGCAAACAAAAAAAAAATGATCTCATCATTCTGCAGCCAAACAGACAAATAATTATATGAAAAAAAAAAAGCAAAAACAAAAAAAACGACTCAAGCAACGAATTGAATGAAAATGACGAGCATGAATAGAATTTATTTTGTGTGTGGCAGAAAATTGAAAACGCGAAGATGATCGACAAAAAAGCAAAAATTAAGCAAAAAAATAAATAAATAAATAAATAAATAAATCACAAAAATAAACACATACCGCTCGGTGCTTTTTTACATGTACATGCAATGTCCGTAGGGGCAGAGACAATAACATTAATGTCAATAATAAAAATTTTTTGAGAAAAATAAACAAAATATTTTTTTTGTTGTTGTTTACTTAAACTCAAATAACACGATTTCATTAGAAGTTCAGTCTCGATAACCCAAATATCGCTTGCGATACGTTTCTAACATTTCTTTTCGTCTTTTTTTTTCCCCGTTTTCGTGACTCGACTACAATTTACACATATATATATATATATACATATATATGTGTATATATGTATGTATATATGTATGTATATATGTATGTACATATGTATGTATGTGGTATATGACTCTAATCGAATACATTAAGATTTTAATATTTAATAACTGAAAGATCCGATTTCATTCGCTTCTTCTGAGGTTAATGAGGTTTGCTTGAATTTTATTTATTTATTTTTTTTTATTGCCATCAAGAGGATTTCTTTGCTCATTTCATTATGAGAATAATCATTATCATCATCATCATCTTTTGTTTCTTATGTATGAAGTTGTTGTTTCGATGTTTTTTTTTTTTGGTATTTGGCATAGATTCTAAGTTTAGTTTAAGTCAAATGTCGACTCTTGGTTGTTTGTTTGTTTCTGTCAGCTGTAGAACGAATATATAGAAAATTGAATGACGCTTTTCTGCAGTACAAACCTACGTTAGGCACTTGCCGATGGAAGCGTTATTTATATTGGTTATTGGGAAGGTTGTAAGCTCTTCGGCCGGAAACTTGATTATCGCTTTTTCTTGTCTCGCCGGACACCATAAGACTTTCTGTTGCATCATTAAATCTAAATCTATTTGCGGTCGCTTTCAGATCTTGATGTCTTGAATTAACATAAGGGCGTCTCGACACGGACAAGAATCATGTTCGTCGTCATATATTTTCAGGATGAAAATGGCAATGAATGGCAATCATTTGTATCGCAAACTCGACTTTAACTTTGCGATGCGTGCAAATACGCTTAACATCTTATTTCAGCTATAAGCTTGAAAGCTTGTATGATGAATGCAATTAAAGGCATAAGAATCAATTTATCAACACCCTTGGATGGGGTAGAATGCTTTTGCATTTCATCGAAAGATTCGATATCTTGGATTTCGACAAACTGCATGACAAACTGAATAATTGCAAAATTGATTGTCAACAAGGCGTAGTCAGCATTTAGCTGACGTAAGAGTCGATTTATTGAAAATGAAGTTCGATTAGATGATGCGATTTATAATTTGATTATCTTTAAGCTTTAAGCTGATGGTCTTAAAACTTAAAGCCGCCTTAGATCGTCTCTTAGTTTTATACAACAAATTATAGGTTAATAAACTTTAAATATCTGCTTTTTGTTGCTGCTATGTTTTCAAATTCGTTTCAATGAAATCTGAAGGTGTATGTGCATATATATATATATATATATATGCGTGTATGCGTGCATAACTTGTTTAAAGCTTAGAGCAGCAAACGCTTTAGAAGAATGTACAGAGTGATATAAACAGTCATTTACGGTGAAAAAATGTAGGCGCAAATTAATTTGGTGTAAATTTTAGTCTACACACAATCATACAAACACTGGCTTAGATATGATTTGTATTCATTGGTATGCATTGAGAGAATTAGAGAATTTTTATCTTAATCTGTGGGCGCCATCAACTAGATACTGCTTTGGCTGCCTGCGCAATCAAGACAGACTTTCGAAATGGCCAAACATTATTGGAAAGAATTTCGGTTTGAAAAGAATTTTTTACCCCTTAAGCGCATAAATCGTTTCCATATATGGAAAAATCCTTTAAATTTTTATTAAGAGCCAAGCGAACTCTAGCTTCAAATGTTCTTCTTTTTCCTTTGGGATAAATAATAATAATAATAGATTTCCATTAACATTATAGAGGGATTAGAGAGAGGTATCATTTTTCTTTTTTACGAAATTCATGCGAATGAAACTTGGACCTTCTTCTAGTCCTACAAGTTGACATGTTTTAGAAGACAATAAAACGACCTAAGAAAAATTTCGTCGACTTGATATAAAGCCTACATATCCATCAAAATAGCGTAGAGCCACAAGACTTTTTTCAAGTTCTTCCATTTTCCCATCATAGTGGATTGTTCTACTTACGTTCGGATACGTTCTTCTTAACTTTCCTGTCGAAATTCCTTTCCCACTAATCTACTGAATTGCAGAGTGGTGTTCAAGGTATCGAGTCTTTGTTGCTTTTTTTCAATTTCTCTTCGACAAACAGCCAAGCAACGGGCAAATCATAGCCAAGTTGAAGTTTATTCTACGAAAACGAATTAATAGTGTCGTTGGAAAGCTTGAATTTCTTATCCTAAATTCTGGAGAGAAGAGTCGACAGGGGAAAGCTTGGTTTGCGGTTAATTTGTTTATTGTTTATGGGCTGCGTGCTCTTATCCCGCTTAAGCTTCGAATAGTTTATACTTCTTTGGAATACATAAGATTATCTATGCCAGTGTTACAAAGGAAATGAAGGAGTTATCATATGCTCTTGCCACTGTGGTGGGCATAAAAAGAAAAAGAAGAAAATATCCGAAATTATGATCTCAATCTGCCAACAAATAGCCGGCAACTGGAGTTTGTCTTGTCTTGTCTTGCTTTGTCTTGCCTTGGCTTGCTTTGCTTTGCTTTACTTGGCTTTGCTTTGCTTTGCTTTGCTTTGGCTTGCATCGTAAATAACAACAGTTATCTGTCATTGTTTTAATGTGTTACAGTAAAAAGCTATCTGCTTGAGTGGTAGATAAATTCCTTATGTGATTTATGTGTTTGCTTTAATAGGTTGCTTTTTTTTCGCGATAAAATTTGTAAAACATGTGAAAGAAGTCGCGTTCACTTTACAAACGAATCTCTACCCGAGTCTCCAATAGTTCGCAACTTCAATTCATTTTTCTATGACGGGTAGGATATCATTAAAGTACAAATGAGCAAATTGTTCCTTTTCTTTGTTTTTTTTTAATTACGCAGCTTAGTTGTATGCAGATCTGAGAGAATATACTTTGACATCATTTAGCTGTGTGGGTTGTACAATCGGAAGTCACTATGCAAACGCGAATTGAAAGAATTCACCCTTCAATTGAAGCATGAGATATAGATTAGGTCGAGTCACAAGTAACTTCCAACGCAGCTAAGCAGAATCTTTTGTGTGCATTTACCCATAGAAAAGTTTTTGTTTTCACTATCTAGGCGAGGGAGGATTCAGTTAGTCTTTTTTTTTTTTTGTTATTTTGTGTGATGCATGTCAACAGTTTCACTGAAATGGTGAGTCAAAAAGTTCATATTCGTGTAGTGTAATGCTTTGGAAATTTAAGTAAAGCAACAGTGCTAAGGCGACAGCTGAGAAAGTATGCAGCCTATGCGGTGAAGGACTGATAACTGATCGGGCAGTTAGAACTTGCTTTGTAAAATTCCGTTCTGGAGATACGAGCTTAAAAGATGGCACGTCTTTCCGCCTTTGACGACATGCTTGTGAAGGCAATATTGGCGCAAAATCCATGCCAATCAGCAAGAGCAAGAAGACTGAATACCTCACAACCATCTATTGAATTAATATAATTTTTTTCTTATTCAGCGAAAAGAAAATAAATGTTTGATGAAAAAACGAAAGTTGCTTCTGGTCCGACCTAATAGACTTTAGTTTTTCATCCTGTAACATCGTCTCATTGGAGTGTTTTTTGGCCGATTTCGTCAAATCACTTTCATCTGAAATCAAAGGCGTTTTTATTGCATTCACATCATCAAGTGCTTAATTTCGATCATAAACAGAGAAAAAGTAAAAAAAAAAACAATGTTTAGCACTTTTAGAGAAGTAACAAGCACCTCATGCTTCTCG